CGAGTGCGAGTTCTAGGGTTTTGACCCTTTGTTATTTAAAGAAAAGATTTTTTTTGTTGTTTTTTTTTTAATTAAGAAAGAAATTAATCTAAGTTAATTATTAAATTAATAAATAAATTAATTAATAAAATATTTTTGGGTTTTTGGTATTTAAAGAAATAAAAATAAATTTAGTCAATGTTAATAAAAACCTAATTGTCTAAGTTAATTTTAATTATTGCAAAAAATATATTAAAGTTATTCCTAATTAAAACTAAATTAATTAATTGATTTTGTTAATAAAAAGAAAATACTAAAATTTAAATTAATAAAGAAAATATTTTTTGGTTTTAATTTTATTAAGAAAAAGTTTGATTGGTTAATTAATCATGAAAATAATTAAACAAACAATTAAATAAATAAAAAATGAAATAGAAAGACTTAGGGGGGTTTGGGCCTGATTTGGAGGTTTGGAATAACAATTCAGAGGCCCAATAGGCGCTGGCCTGGCTGACTTTGTGAGATTCCATGTGCGCTCTTTGACTTGGTCCCATGGTAGACCATTATCCTAGACCACCAGATTTGGCCCTAGGGCCATCTGGCACTTTGATGTATGAGGGAACATGATACACCACGCGCTTGGATTTACATTGGATAACCTGTAGAAAAAATATAACAAGGAATTTGGAGGACCTGGGATTCGAACCCAGGTCCTGTTGGTCATTGGATGTACACGCCCACCACTCAGCCACTTTGCTCTGCTTGTCAATATATTAATCAATAATAATAATATGGGATAATGGATTAATATGCCAGAACAAAAAAATAAAAACGCGCCAAGTTTGAATGGTCCACTCAGAGGGAGACACGTTTGTCGTCCCTGACCTTCAAACCCTGTAAATTTACCTGCGAATTTAGATCCGCAGCTAAATTCGTAGGACGTTCCCAAAATCAATTCTAGGCCATGAAAATTAAATCCAAGCGCATGGTTGAGTTCGTCCTTCCCTTCCGTCATGTCCATGGCCATCTATGGAGCTAATTTTTCCTATAAACGAAACGCCCAAAAAAACAACCACGAAACCCTAGATTCGGCTATGGGGTTACAGATCAGATAAATGCAATTGGATGATATAGAAAGCTTGGAAATTTGATGAGGATCATGAATATGCAAATGGTTTGTGCAAAAGATATAGAAATAAGGATATACAAATTCAAGAAAGAAGCGATTTTTTGTGACTCTTACAATGCTTTTGGGCGTGTATGAGAGCTTGCTAGGGGTTGGTTCTGACTCAGTGAACCTCCAGCAATTGATTGGTGTCAAGCTTCGCTTCTGAAATGGCCTCTAAGTGTGATTTCAGTTTTTCACTTTTCACCACTTTTTCCAAGTTTGGTTCTCAGTGTTCTTGCAGCCTCTAGCCTAGTTTTCGTGTGCTTTGACTTGTATATGTAATATGCAATGCATTAGGTTAACATTTGTGGATTGAATCCTTGCACATCAATGCCATGGGATTTGATTTGATCCACCATTGAAAGCTTGCCTAATTTGTCAAAAACTCAATCTTTTTGCACATGGAATGCTTGATACGAATTTTATACACTTGATGATGATGATTCAATCCTGAAATAGCCAAAAAGAGATCAAATAATCAATGTTTGGGATTTTATTTGATTTAATTTGATAAAAAATGAAATAATTCATTAAAAAATCAAATAATAAAATTGATAAATGGACACAAGGCTGAAGCTAGGACACGTGTGCAATGTGGCAAGTCCAAATCAAGTGGAAAATAATGGGCCCATTTGACAAAATTTGAAGTTTTGGGGATAGTTGACTTTTGGCAATTTTGCAAAAATGCCCAACTTCGACAATGCATAACTTCTTCAATTTTGAACTTTTGGAAGTGTTCTTGGACTTTTTAGAAATCTTGAGATGTACTCTAACCAACCATTTTGGTCTCATCTAATTTTGATATTCCATGCTCAAGTTATAAGCTTTGGCAAAAAAGGTGTTTTTGTTGAATTTCAAAAATGACCTATAATGTCCAAATTTATACTTCTTGTGAGTTCATTTTCTGATCTTGGGGTATGAAGATGGATTGTAGGAAATTGCATCCTGTTCAAAATGAGCTTTGTATGGGTCATTTCTCATAAAGTATGAGAAAGTTATGCTTGATCAAAGTTGAATTGACTTTTCTTGTAAAACCCTAATTTAGCAACTTTTGAGTCTTGATGAATTTTGAGCAATCCTTGATGAATCATGATCAACCCTTGATCAAATGATGAAATATCATTCAAAATGATAATGTTGACAACAAATATTGAAGTTTGACTATTTGTAGGTCACAGTTGACTTTTGCCCTAACACAGTCGATTTTTGGACCCTTTGAGCAATTAACTGAGCAAACTTCCTCTGCAAGGCTTGAAATTTGACATGGATGACCTTGAGAAAATATTAGGACATTAGGGAGCATTTGAGGTCATTTGGACTCAAGGATCTTGATGCAACACAAAACCCTAATTCGGGGTTGACTGCCTTAGGAGATGATTTGTCTGACCCACTCTTGAGCAAACTTGAGCAACTTGGAGATTTTTCTTGCAATGTTTTGAGAAATATGAGAGGGAAAATTTTAGGGTACAACAGATACGTATGCAAACGATTAAAATCGTGGCGAGTTCCCCCTAACTAAAATTCAAACCCTTTTTTCCCAATAATAATTAAAATCCCTATTTCCTGAAAGATGCGCTTCTAAACCTAGTATGCTTGTGAACAAGGTAGATAAGGGGTGCCTAACACCTTCCCCTCGTCTAGAATCGAGTCCAAATCTAGAATCTTCGAAACTTTTTAGGGTTATTCCTTTATACTCCCTTCCTTTGGATAAAAATTAAGTGTGGCAACTCCGATTTAAAAGTTGCAACACATTGGCATAAATAGAGTTGATACTCGCATTATCTACCCCCTAGGTTGTGGTAGATGTGTAAATCAGATATAACTATTCATATGGGTCCTTGAGCAATGATAATTTATTTTCCAAATTTTCAATCTTATTGGTTTAGTACGTTGGCATAAATAATATTGATACCATATCATTTATCTTATAGGTTATGATAAATATGCAAATATGTGAGAGAAATTACTAGGTTAGTCCCCAAGCATTAGCAAGTTATTTTCAGATCTTTTTCGACTCCATTGGTTTAGTCCCTTGACATAAATGAAGTTGATACCCACATTACCTACCCTAGGTTGTGGTAGGAATGAAAAATCTATGATAGAATCCTTTTTCATATCTAGTGGTTTAGTCCCTAGGGAAAGCTAGATATGTTAATCCATGCTCCAGGCATCGACGAGTTATCTGCATCGTCTTCTCTTGGTTACCTTTAATATGTACTAGTTATCCACTCTGTCATATCCAAGTTATCCACGATTACTTTTTCTCAGGTATTGACAAGTTATCTGCATCGTCATCTCCTGATTATCCGTGTTTATTATTTCTCAGCTATTGATGAGTTATCCACGTCATCATTGCCCTTTTTTTTACTGTTACTTGTTTTATTTTTCAAACTATTTTCAAAAAATCTTTGGTCAAATCTTGGGGTCTTCTATTATTCAATAACCCTCCAATTCGAACGTGCGAAAACTTCGTATACTCACACGCTTCAATCAAAGAGTAATTAAATAGGGGCAGCTGTCATACCCCAAATTTTCCTACCTTATTTTCTATAGTCAAATAATTTTCAAAATTGGTTTTATAATTTTCTTTGGTTTACTTACACTATCATTTTGGGTTTTATAAATATTCGTTTTCAATTTTATATATATATATATATATATATATATATATATATATATATATATATATATATATATATATATATATATATATATATATATATATATAGTTTACTTTAAATTATTTTTAAAATAACAAATACTTTCTCACCCTTCATATGGTTTTTAATGCCATTTGAATTTGAATAAATAAGATAGCACAATTGGTAAGAAGACACATGTAAGGGGTTTAAGTATAAGGCTGTGAGTGCAAGTCCTATTGTACTACTTTTTGTATTCAAGTCGCAAATATGACCAAATTCTTAGACTTGTTGACTAAGATATAATTGAAAACTTTGAACTTTTTTATTTTGGATAATTTTCTTTTTGGTGTCTTAACTTAATTTTTTAATCTATAAATAACCCTCTATTTTTACGGAACAATTCACCTACAATTTCACAAATTCTACGATTCATTATCAACAATTTTTTTCAACTTTTTTCTTCACACATTTGTTTTTAAAACTATCTTCTACTCAAAACTATTTTTGACCAATAATTAAATGTGAGGTCACCTTTTAATTTCAATTTTATTTTTATTTATTTTTCTAATTTGTTGCAATTTGAACCACATGATAGTTGCTCTCTGATGGTTATGTTTTAAAAATTATTATTAGACTAACAAATTGCATAGAAGCCAAAACACACACTCACGATATATATTTCCTACTTACTAACACCCACAAACCTTTTTTTAACATAAACAAAACCCTTTTATTTTCTAGCCTAAGTCCACTCTTTTTTTCTATTACAAGAAACCTTATTTTATAAAACCACAAAAAAAAAACAATGTTTTTGAATCCTCTTTCACGTCTTACAGTAAGAGTGTCCATCACCTCTCTAGACTACCATAGCTTTATCTCACAAAACCTTTCTCACACCATAATTTCATAAGTAATTCAAACCATTTTACTAGAACAATAATCCAAATTCAAAGACCAGCTTTCACATATTCACCGAGTTTCAATTCATAAATCAAAAATAAATTTCACCAAAACCACACCATCATATCTCCACCATAGAATTATAATTCTAATCATACAAAATCACACCATTATTTTCTCTCATCAAAAGCATAATCTACCTATCAAAATTTCAAAACCAAAGTTAAAATTTCCATCTCCCTACTAACACCAACAACAACATCACAATAACAATTCCAAATTAACACAACAAACCAAACAAAAACAAAAACATGAAGGAGAAGACTCAAAGAAAAATATGGAAAAATTTATTGTGTTATTGTCTTTAATTGTTTGTGTGCAGAATTTAAAGGAAGAACGAAATTCAACTGCCACCACCATCGGAAACACACAAATCTTTCTGCTGTCTCTCCCGCTTCAGTTTTCAGAAATCACTCAGTCTGAAGCCAACAACCACAACACCACCTTAACAACCGTCCTCATCAACGACATTCTTCCAACAACAATAATCCATTTCGCTGTTTCTGATATGCACCTACCATGCGAAATCTCTGTTGCACAACGGGCCAACACTGAACTGCCATACCAGAATCAAGCTCGTGCGTCGCATCTGACCACACAACAGCTCTCCGAGTCTCCAACTATGCCATGTCTCCATGAGATTTCGACCTCCAATGACGAAAACCAATCGCAAGCCACCACCTGCAAACGTCACAGGAGCCACAAACTTTTGGCCATACCCGCAGACGCTGCCATCGATCCCGCTACAAACTGCCACTGAATGCATAAACCTTTATGAAAAGGCGGAGGAAAGTGGTATGTTCTTTTCCTTCACTATATTTGGTTTTGACTTAAAGTATACATGTGGTTGTAGCTGTAGAAATGTTGAGAACAAGCCATTGAATTGACTTGACTCGCACAAATTAAATTAAAAATAGCCACCGCGCTTTATCGTTTTCAAAGGAATGGGAAAAGAGAGAATAACCCAAAAAGAGGGGGAGAGAATCTAAGTTCGGTGTTTCGTTATGCAAAGGGAAGATATTAGCACCCTAAACGTCTACGGTACTCCACAGGAACCTCTTTGAAAATTTGTGTATTTTGGATATAAATGTTGTATAAAAAATAGATGGTGGGGATGAGAAAAGAAATATATTTTTTTTATAATTTTGTACCCGCCACGGTTGCGAATCTTTAGTGCCTACGTACCACGTTCCGTGCAATAGGGGATCAGGGTACTCATATTTCACCTTTTAAAAATTTTCAAACAACAAGTGTGTAGCTTAATTTTAAGAGACGAGACATTATCGTCTTAACCGAGTGGAAAAACATACTTACTACCCATGATTATGAGAAAAGAGAATTTGCATCATCTCAAAGTGGATGATATATCTTAGATTTTAAAATCAACAAAGCCTCACTCAACACCCATGTGGAAAATATCTCACTTAACTACATATCGTAGAAGTATAGTAGCTCGCATCACTACAAGAATTGACAAGAGTCTAATCTTTTGAGAAACAATTTAAGGTAAAAAGCCAAAGTGGCAAAATAGTTTGAATGAGATTGATTGACTTTTAGTCTTCTCACAAAAATGTCAAAGTATTGCTAAATTGTTTAAAATTTGATTAAGAAAATATTTTTGAAAAAGCATGGACCTAAGTCCAAGTTTATTGTGAAAGCGGTTCAAGTTTAAAAACAAGAAGAGTTTTCAAAAGGAGGGAGAAGATTTTTGAAATTGAAGAAAGTGGAAGGAGATGAAGGGACTATCCTGAAGCATAAGGTAAAATCTAGGGAAAAGAACCGTCTAACCAACAAGAATCCAACACTTGACACAATGAGTCAATGTATGATTCCCATCCTTTGAATTGAAACCAAACAAGAAAAGATAATAAATCTCTTAAGAAAACCAAGCTTCAATTGCATTAAGTCTTCACAAAAATTAGGTAGAGTAATGACTGTATACAGATGAATTCTCGATCACAAGAAAAATATGTAATCACAATAACCTACACACAAAGCAAAAAAACAACTCAATGTCTTAGGGTAAACCCCAAGAGCTCCAGACAAAATAACAGTTGAGGTCACAAAGTCTCAAGGTAGGCCACAACTTCTAATCCTAAGTCCAAGAAGTCCACAATCTCCATAATGCCAAGGATAGTAACCGAGTAGTCCAAGTAACATTAAAGCTTTTTATTGTTCAAGTTGGTTATTAAGTATCTTCAAAAAGAAATGAAAAAGCTCAAGTGAGCAAAGTAATAATGACACAAAAGTAAATGCTCAAGTGAATAAAGATGAAAATAGAATGAAATATAAATGCTAAAATAAATGTGCTTAAAGTAAAAGTATAAAGAAAAAGCACAAAATAAAGTTAATTGTTAGAAATTAGAGGTTAGTTGAATGACTATCTTGAAACTTGCATTTGAAACTCATTAGAGGATTGATAAAACCAAAGTCTCTCAACAACAAGTTTCATTTGCTTTTTGTCAAGTATATCATTCATTTAAAATTCTCAAGGCAACCATAAATGATCAACGATGTTTAAGTGATTCACTTTGACAAAAGCTTATGAAGATTCATTAGAGGATTGATAAGACCAAAGCCTCCTAACAATGAATCTCAAGGTTATTGGATCAAAGGATTCAAACTAACATAGTTGGACTTACAAACATGGGTTTGGGCCATAAATGATCATTTCTCAAATCGGGACCAAATTTAGCGCTATGTGAAGCAATCGTAAGTCGACTTATATTGAAGTCGCACCTATTTTGAGGTCGGTCAATAGAAATTTATGTGTCATGTGTTTGGAGAGATGATATGTATATCATCCTCTAACAACATGTGAAACAATAAGAAGAAGATGAGATGAAGAGTGGAGGGATAATATTTGAAATGAAAATTTAATCAAACTATCATTAAAATCATTCATCCATTTTGATGGAGTTAAACTCAACACCCAAGATCCAATGGTATTAAGGAAGTCCATGATCAAAAGTCAAAATAGTCAGAATATGTATCAAAATAAAATAGTATTTAAAATAAAAGAAAAAAGTTTTTTTAAATGGTTTTTTAATATGGAAATAAAAGAAAAAATAGCAACTATATTCAAAACACTCAAGAAAAATAAAGTGAGACCATAGAAAAATCAGAAATGAACTCAAATATTTTTATGACTTTTTTGGTATTTTTTTAAAATGAGAAACTATTTAAAAACTAATTTAAAATTCTCAAATAAGTGAAAAAAAGATAAAAAATAATAAAAGTCATAATAAAATTCTATTTTTTTTTCAGAAAGTCAGAAATAATGAAAATGATTTTTATAAAAAGTTTCAGACTTTAAAAATGTCAGAAAGTATTTTTTAAACAATTAAAATAAAGCAAACAAAGCAAAAATTATGAAAAACATCAAACCTTAAAATAAAAATATAAAAAATATTCAAAAAGTTAGAAATAATTCAAGTATTTTTGTATATATATATTTTTATAATATTTGGATAAAAAATAAAAGAGTTGTGAATTTTTGAAATTAAAACAAATTTTAAACAAATTTTATAAAGATAAATAAATCAGAAATAATGCGAGGTGTAACACCCGTAATTTAATTAATTATTTAATTAAATTATTTTTGGAATATTTGAGAAGATGTGTTGTGATTAATTGGATTTAATTATTTTATTAAGTGGTGAAATAATATTAGAAGTATGATATTATTTGATGTAGGCTTGTTTTTAAGGAATAGAAGTAATAAAGGGAGTGTATTAGTTTTGAGTCCAATAAGGAGTTAAGAGAATAATAGGTTATTTTATTGTTGCTAGAAGAATAGAAAAGATGAGGCAGTAGAAGAATAAGGATTGAGAAGAAGAACGTGAAGCTGCTGGAAAAAGAGGAAAAACGGCAGAACAAGGTTTCAACCGGAAGATTATAGAGCGACCTTCAATCCAAGGTAAGGGTTGGGTTTTGACTCTATAATTGGGTTCATGATGATTGGTATGTGGGGTTAGAGGTGATTGCTGTCTTGTTCTTGAATTGAACGTATATGATGTTGTATGATGAAGAATTGATGAATTTTAGATGAATAATGATGTCCCGATGTTGTTTGCTCGATGTAGAATTATAGGATAATTGTAAGTGATGATTATCTATGATTAGATTAAGTTTTTAGGGCTTAAAGTATAGAATCCGTAGTGAAAACGCAGAGAAAATCGCAGAATTTATGCAGGATGTAACAGGATGCGTCGACCTCAAATGCTATGTGTCGATACAAGGTGGTTTTGAGACTCATGATGAGTCGACACGAAGAGGTTTTGCATCGATACATGAGTGCTTTTAGACTCAGGATGAGTCGATCCATAGGGGCATGTGTCGATACATGCCGTGTGTAAGACTCAGTATGAGTAGATCCAAGAGAGGATACGTCGACTCATGTTGCGAGTTCAGTGCGGTACGCGTCGATCCAAGGAGTTATGCGTCGACCCATGTTGTCTGGTTTTTGGCAGATTCATTTTATGAATGTTGTAACTTGAGTTTTAGGATGCCTTTTGAGATGCCGTTTGAAGCGTTGAATAGCTAACGCGATGAACTTTATTCTAGAGGATTAAAATGAAGAATAGGAAGTGTAATCCTAGTAGCCAATTTAGGATTTAGAATTAGTTCCCGTGTTGATTGTTATGTTGGTTTTTATGTAGCATGATGAAGATGAAATGTTTATAGGCTGCTGTTTGATTTGTAACAGTAAGAGTAATGATAGTAATGATGTAAGATTACAGAATAACGGTGTGAATTACTATCGTATTAAAGTACAACTGAGTTGTTGATGAGATGTTATTAATGAAGTTGTGTTTGATGAATAAATGATGTTTGATGAATTATTATGAATGATATGAGATGTTTGATGAAGAGATGTTGAGATTCTTTTAAGATGTAGGCCTTTGGCCAACGATGATGATGTATTGAGATTTTGGTAATTATGTTGTTGTTATTACATTCATGATTGTGTCGCATATATTGCATTTTGAGATGGAGCTTATGCTCGTTGAGATGGCCTGTATTGGAGAATATCGAGATGAAGGCTTATGCCTTGTTGATGCCTCTATTAATTGGAAAATTTTTGAGATGGGAGTTCTGCGCCAAATGGTACCACGTGTATTTTCATAGTATTGAGTCGCATTATATGACTGCATAAAGAGGTGTGTATTGATGTGGTGAATGTGTATTATTATGGTTGATTATGAGATGAGAAGTGGTGATGTTATGTGATCTAATTTAATAAATTAATTATCATGCGCTTTATTATATTGTTAGATATATCACCCCTTCTGTTTGAATGTTGCCCTTATGTTGGTGACGTGCAGGTAATCGAGAGTGAAGGCTGTATACCTTCAATAGTTTGAGTCAGTGTCATTGCTCTGATATGTAACACTCGGGGGGATGAACGCTTGTTGCTTTTGATTATTGATTATTCAGTTGTTGAACCTTAAGTTGATTATTATTAAGTATTTGTTAGTTTGAAGTTGCTGTAATGATGATAAATATGTTATTAAGAATTCCTCCGCGTAGATGTTGAATTATTTAATTAAATATGTCATGGCGATGGTTCATCCGATGTTTTAAAAGTGTTATATATCCACGATGAATGCAATTAATTTTTATAGAAGAATTTGTGGCATCCCGATTCGATTGCATGAATGATTTTTATAACTCTGATTTATTTATATAATTTTCCGGGGTAGAATTGGGGTGTTACAAAGTTGGTATCAGAGCAATAGGTTGGTTCGACCTTGTTGT